ACGAAATCAATTACTGGCAAGAGAAAAAGCAGCTGACATTGGATAAAGACAATGAGAACGAGCTCGAAGGAAGTACAAAGCGATTCGTGGAATACACGTACACGGTCAGGATCTGTTATCCCTGGAAGAAGGATAATGTAACGGTTGAAAGATCAAGAGACTAGGAATGAGCGGGAAAGAACGCCGAGAAAAGAGAACAATAAAATGGAATTTACCTTCCAAGAAAGAAGATCTCATTGTTCGTTCTTGGAAAGAAGTTTTATAAAACTATAGCGAAGGGAGGAGAGAGAAAGTCATAGAATAATCATAAAGAACCGTTCAATAAGAATTAATTAACTAGCATTAGAATGAAATCTGATGGATGATGATTTAAAAAATTCGTGATTATTCGTTTTTATTTTGTTCCAATGAAAACGAAGAAGAATAGGAAAGAAGTGAGAAAGGGAGAGCTTAAGTGGAAGAGGGGAAAAGGCGATTCACTGTAAACGCTTGTTTGGACATAACTTCGCTCAGTGACTTTATGACACCTGTCAGAAGAGTTCGGCACTGTGCAAACCATACAACAATAAGGTACATTCCGATGCAAAGCAGTAACAGTCTGGCTACTCGAATACTCGAACTTTCCCCTCTCCCCTTGTTTTGTTCTTTCCCTTCTTCCTCGCCGTCCTTCACCCTTTCTTGTACGATTTCATTGTCGCCTTTTTCTCTCATCGATCAGCCAAGACATCCACGTCCGTCTCTAATTCTAAGGAATATTATATTCCTCGAGTTTTGGAAGGACTTGTAACTTTTTCATTGTTCTATTTATATGAAATGTATATATATTCGTGGAATATTTTTGAATCTAAAGAATGCTTATTTGTTAAATTATGAGATAAATTCACGTTAAATGAAATAGGAGCGAGAACAGAAGTATGGCAGTACAACAGAAAGAGAGAGAGAACATTCTGTTGCGTCTCGTTTCAATTAACGCAATGAATAAGTTTTAATTTAATTAATTTAATATAATGCATATCAATTTTTACAATCGAATAAGAAAATATTATTGTAGTATTTTCTATGATATTTGTATCGTGTCATAATTAAAAATATGGTTTAAATCGTTTGAGCTGTTAATTAGTTATTATATTATTCCGTAGTAACTAAATAATCGTTTTGTATAATTTACTCCGTTTTAATTAATTAAGAATATAAATGCAACAAATATCTTGTAAACGTATATTCTCGTTACTCCTTCAGATTATTGCGTATCACGTTAAGTGCAAAAATTGCATTTATCTTTTAATGAAATAAAAATTACGGATGTTAAAATATTTATGATCGCAATATGTACGCCAGTAATTGAGAAAAGAACGTCTTTATAAAAATGCATGCTGTTACATCGCCATTCAATTTCAGCGTTCGTTTGTATTTAAAAAATTCTTATTCACCAGTTGCGTCGGGTCATATAAAAGCCACCCTGTGGTTTACACCCGTTTTCCTGCGTTTAATCGCACTTTCACATGAGAAGCAACAGGTAGTGCCTTCGAAAGAAAGCGCGAAATGCATCCTCTCGCGCAGAAAAATTCAACTACTAATTTCGCATTAATCTTTAAAAAATACAGCAATGCAATGGTGATAATTGAAATAATATTATTTGTTTAAAAAATGCAAATGTTCAAATTGATATAATAAAAATTACTTGATTCTTTCGAAAAATAATAAATGAGAAAGAATTTCATGCTACGTGTTGAAACAGTTTATCAATTCCATAAATTTCAACTTGTGTGTAGTGAATTATTCGTTCACTAATTAACACATAAAAATTTCTAACTAACTAATAAAAATTATAATCAAAAAATAAATATAGCTACTTTTATAAAAATTTTCTTTCTTAAATACTTAAGAAAACGTACGCTTTTAAGCACCTTATGCGTATACACGTACAATTCGATAATATCCCCAATATTAAGCGTATATAATAACTAAATTACAACACAATACAGTACCTACGATCTTATGCTATAGTACATTATACAATATACTATAAGATATATTGACTCATATATCAGGTTGTGTAAACCCATCTACCTTTCTTCACCACAAACGATAAAATAACAAAAAAAAAGAAAGAAAAAAACGTCGGAAATATCGTCCAATCGCTCAACCTTCTGCCTCTCCGCAGCCTCTTTCCCCCAAAACAATCACCTCGACGTTATCCCTCCCTGAACGAGTGGCACGGTACCAGGGAGGGAGAGAGGGGGGAGACGCACTCGCCACCGTTCCCCATCCGATATTTACGATTTCCCTGCGGGGCTTCTCTTCCCGAGTTGCGCACCGCTGCGTTGAAAAACCGAATAAAAAGCAGGCCGCGACGGTAAGGAGAGGCAAAAAAAAAGAAAAAAGAAAAAAGAAAAAAAAGAGGGGGCAAAAGAGAAGGCGAGGAAAAGGCAAACAGTGGCTAGAGAGACGGGGGGAAGGGGAGGAAGCAGAGCGCGGAATAAGCGATGGAAACGGACGACGAAGTCAGCACAGGGGGTGTGAGGGACGAAAAGGGCGAAGCGGGGGAGGGGGGAGGGTTGAAAGAAGAAAGAGCGTGGAGGAGAGACGAAGGTGGCGACAAAGAGCAAAGATAAAGAAAGGAGGAAAGAAGTAAAAGGAGACTCACGTTTGCAGTGGCCCTTATAGGCGACGGGAATGGCGCGACCTGCGCGGCAGGCGGCAAGTCGCAGGTGGCAGGCACTCTTGTATGTGTTTCCGTCGGCCCCGCAAACGGGGCGTGCGGCGGCTCGTTGTTGCGGGGGCGGCTGGGGGCACCTGCGGGCGCACCTCACGCAGTGCGGGCTCAGGTTCTGGTCCAGCAGGCAGCTCCGGCCTTGGCCGCACCGGACCCGTGCGCACGAACCTGCTCGACACTTTACACGTTATTACGCACAGTCGTAAACTGCCCCCGTGATAGATGCGTCGCCTTTCCCTGTTTGTTTTCCGCGCGCCAGACCGCGCACGCGCGAACCTGACGCGGTTCCCTAGGATGCGCGCGCACGCGCGATCTCTGACCACTCAGGACACTTGTTTCGAAATGGTTTGTTTTGGGACTTAGGATTTAAAATTTGACGTTTCTCAGTTGGATAATTCGCGAGAATGAGTTGTCGAAGTGGTCGGAAATATAATTATATCTTCTTCGTTATTTAGAATTGTAAATAATAGTGAAAATTTATTCGATTTATGCGATCGTAATTGTTCACGTTAATTATTCTATACAAAAAGTTTTACTGATCTTAACGAGAATTGTTATTGTTTAATCCTTGCAACTGAATACCTTCGATAATTCCATTTCAAATCATTTATCGAGCAATAGAAATTAAATTTAATTGATTATTAAATATTTAAGAATCTAAGAATAATCTTTAAAGCCATGAATTCAAATTTTGTTATATCTATAGTGGTATATGGTTCTGTCGATGGTCGTTCAATTGCAAAGCGGTGATAATGATTCTATCTCTTTCATACATACTCACTTTGGCAGTGGCCGTTATAGGCAACCGCTAGTTCGTGGCTTCCTTTCTTGCAAGCGCGTTTCTTCAGTCTGCACAAATTTTTGTAGCTTTTGCCGTCCGTCCCGCAGACTGGACCACCGCCTCTTGGTGCCTTGCACTCAGGGCTGCACACACACCTTGGTCTTCCTCTACGCACCACGCACTTCTTCCCCTCCTCACACCTTACTTCCGTGCAGCTTTCTATCAATAGAAAATAAATTTTTCTTTTCTTTCAAGAAAAATAGTTTAACAGTTTCCATTGAATTTGAATTTTTGTAAAAAAAAAATAATCGCGGATGTTTATGCAAAATTAAATTTTTATGAACATAATAATTTACGGAGCTTAAATTTTGCTTTATTCTTTAAATACTCTTCAATATAGTAATGTTTATTATACTTTGAATATTTTATTATTTCTTTTTTTATCATATTATTTTGCAGATTTTGGAATATTTAAATTTTGCATAAACATCTGCATACTAATATTTTGACGAGAATCTTTAGATTTTTTTTAAAAAAAAGTTCAAAAGTAAATCAAAAATAAAATATTCACTTACCTCTGCAAGGACGACACTGCACACCTCCACCAAGCACCCTCCAAAAAAAGAGACTTCCGCTATCGAGATCTTCCTCCGAGTACGCGGTCGCTGCTGCAGCGTTCGACGCGCAACAATCTTCCTTTGTCACTCCTTGTGACAATAATTCCTTACAACGACCGTTGCTAATGGAAGACCAGCATATACCGCCTGTAACACATTTCAGATGAAAAAATTAATTCTAAATGATTTATTCAAAAGCAGACATTATTCAATGTTGTTTGAATAATGATATCAACTCAACCAGAAACTAATTATCGATGAATATTATTTACAATTTAAATAATTGATGATAGATAAGTACTTGTCGAGTCTTTTTTTAATGCATAACGTAAATCTAACTAGAATTTGTTTGAAAAACATCAATATTTAATATATACTTAGAAATAGATATATCTATTTGATGAACATATTATTTTTAATAGCGTTTGTTGAAGAAGACTTCGAAGTTTGTCATTAATCTTTTCTTAAATCAATATTTCTCAATACTTTTTAAATCATGTTTTACAATAATTAAAGTAACATTTTCATAAAAATCTATGTTAATATTAGATTATTTGCTCCTTAAATATCATAATCAAATCATATTTTCCATCTTTCATAGAGAAAAGATAATTCATATTATAGCAAAACTAGTTTAGAATTTAATAAAAATTAGAAAAATATATATGGTTGATTTCGTAATCATCCTCCTAAAGATTTTCTTCTTCTGAATAATATATCAAATATATGACTAACAATATTCTTAACAATATATTATTCGACACGTTGAACATTTTAAAACTGTTCGATTTCATTGAAAATTCTCATTAAAAATTATTGACACACCTTTCTTCTTTCCTTACATACACAAACAATGCAATCAACATTATTAATCCCGCCACATTGAAATATCCTCAATAAACGAAAGATCAGTAAACAGAAGTTTAAAATTGTACGATCAATAAAAATAACTTCCTTTATCGAGATCCCGATCGTCTCGTTTCGCGAACGAGACGAGCAAGAACATAGTTTCCCAGAATGAAACTATGAAAATTCCACTCGAGATATGACGAAACGTTGAAACCTCGTGGGGCTCGGCGGGAATCGTCGACAGGATTTTTTTTTCTCTTCTTTTCCCTCCCCTCCCCCCTATTCCATTCGTTTCATAGCTCGCCTAATCACAGCCATAGCTATGCCGGGTGCGCAACGAGGGGTTTGCGCGTCTCTCTTTCTTAATGAAAGACAGCCGGCTCTCGCGTTAGCATTCCGGGAACGTCGCATTAATGAGACGCGTTCGCGGGGAAAATTCCTTCGAGGACTTTTAATTGACGCCGTGTACGGCGGGCGCGACTTGGCGCGTTTGAAAAAGTGGAACAAGGCCCGGCGCGAAATCGACGGACATTCGTTAGAAAGCTTGACGAACGTGTCATAAAGTTGCGAAAGAAACACTGTTGGCCGCGACAGGATTACACGTCGTGCTCGTGTCCGCACGATGATGGATATACGTCGGTGATATTGAGGGTTGAGGAGGGGAGGGAGGGAAGGGGGGGTAAAAGAACGGGCGGACGAGCCTTTCGTTTTTCCAGGAAATAATAGCGGGACGAATGTTTAACTGATGAACTGGAAGGATGATCGTCGGCCGTGGTGAATTAAATGTGGGATAAGAATGTGTGCGCTAAGCGAGCGCTCGATTGGAAATTACATGTAGCGGTATCACGGGGAACGTGAAAATAAAGTGCTTCGATAATGTACAAGTTGAAAGTTGTTTATTAATGTGGGATTAAGATTTGAAACGAGGAATTGAATGATTTTTTTTTTTTTTTTTTTCTTTCTTGGGGGAAGTTGAAGCAGTTAAAAGAATTTTAATGACCGTTTAATTTTGGAGAAGTGTATTCTAGCGATTGTAAATATATATTTTATAAACGTTTGAATATCCATTTGAATATCTTTTTTTTTTTTTTTTTTATTGAAAAATTCTTAAACGTATGAAATAATATAAGTATATATATTAATGTACAATATTTGTGCATTAATGTACGTTATTATTCGTAAAATTTTAGTATGGTTATGTTTTTGCTATTTATTATGGATTATCATTAATTATCATTAAAAATATTTTTATTTTACGCAGTATTGAATTTCTAATATATAAAATAACGTTTCGTTTATTACTTATAATAGATGCAAAGTACAGCATGTAAAATATAGGAATTATTGGCAATAACTTGAACAAGTTTATAAATATTCATTCGATAAATGAATATTATCAGCGAGTCGCAATTTTTATGATTCATGCGATTTTGCATTTCAAATTTCCTATCATTACTTCACGGATGACTAAAATTATAGCTAGCAGTAATAGAAAATAATTCCTAAAATTACTTTCTTAAACCAAGAAAATTCAACGTATAGTTTTTACCTATTTATTTAAAATTATAATAAAATGAATAATTAAAACTCATTTGCGACATTAACTGAAACATCATGCATGCAGTATTTCAGAAATGATACTGATCAATTCCACGTTCATTTTCTAAATCTTAATAAATCTCGAAACATCTAATTAACGTTTAATTTTTTTAGAAATAAAATTATTTATCTCTGAAGATAATCGGTTGCTCGTACGCATTATCATAATTTTTATACGTATAATTATCTTAAAAAAGTCATCAATTAATTACGTTCAGTTATATTTCCGCGCTGAGATAACAGTAATAGCAAATTAAAAGATTCATTGTAATGTCATTCACGTGGTAGACAGACAAACTCTGGTTCGCGGTTTTAGGTCTCGAGAAACGGGAAAGTAAAGTATTTTTCTACACCACGGACTCATAAAGGAAACGTCCAGTGCGAACTTCGTGTGCAAGTACTTTAGCTTGTATGATCAGCACACACGAGAAGACTCGTCCAATTCCTGGCTACAAGTTAGGAATAGTCGACATTGTTTGCCGAACTCTCCATCGACTTAGGGTAAAATTCCTGGAAGACGAGGAGTTAGAGGCTATGCTAACGTCTGAGCCACAATGAGCCTCGCAACGTACTAATTACTTCCACTTTCGATTGTATATATTTAAATAATGCTCGCGTTGCATTCAAAGTAAATCTCGATGCCTTTACGTTTTCCTCTTTCTCAAAAAGTATTCATCAATGGATATTTAAGACGTGTATGTACTAGAATGAAAATGCAGCGGAAACTAGCATTAAAATATAGTAATTAGAAATCGAATAATTTGCAAATGAATTTTTAAGAGAATAGAGAATGTTTATATTTAATTTTTGCAATAATTTTTTAATTTTTTAATACTGTTACAATTTTCGAAAATAGAGAAGATTTCTAAACTTTGGAAAACGAATTAAAGATCCAAATGAGTTGATTAGGATCCCCCTAACGGATTTTTCTAAAATTTAACGTTTTCTAGATATACCCAAAATATTTAAAAACCTAAGATTAATATCGAATAATTTTTAAATATCTTTCGATATTGAAACAATTTAAGATAAAGGAATTTAAAAATTAGTAAATAATTTCAATTTTCTGCATCTGATTTTAGAAATCCTAAAAATTTTGAAGGAACAATCACTATCAAAGATTTATATTCAAATATTTTAAGTATCCTTAGTAAATTTTCGAGTATTCTAGTATATCGAGTTTGTCAAGAATTTTGAATATCGTTATAAGAGTTGAAACTTAACGACCTTCTCCCCCCTTTGCACAAAAGTATCCTTTAAGACTAACAAATTTGATTTCTCCTACACTCAACCGTTACTCTCTCGTAAAATTAAATTTTATTGTCGAATTAACGAGTATTGCGAGGCACAACCCACAAAACACGTAATCCACCGCAATTGTGACTTACGATCGAAAATTTCCGTTCATAAACTGATAGCTGAGAAAGAAGGGGCGCATCATTGTCGAGCTTACGTATTCAAGGAATATATCGATTACCCTAACTTCGTGTATACAGAAGCGTTAACCATTCAACTCGTCGAAGTCGTAAGGAAACATAACGGCAGAATACGAAATGAATCATGCTAATAAAGGGGAGCTTTAACAGATAAAGTATGCACGGGTCCCGGTGGAATCACAATTGTATTTTAAAACCGTGCACCGGTTGTGGATCAACAGATCGGTAATGCGATCTGTTCTCCTTACTATGCTCGTGTTTTCTTTGCATGCAGTTAAACAGCAACTCAGACGTCGGTAACAAAGGCGTGTGTTTAAAACGCGTTTATAAAGCGATTATGGTCGTAAGAGGTTGTAACAATAAACGTCATTGAACGGTTATAAACGGTGATGTCCGAGTGGATTAGTTAATAACGTCTGTTACGATCGGAGGTATATGTTAAATAAAATAATTTGAAACTGATTCATTGTTGCGCCACCGATTCAGGATAAATACAATCGACGATTCGATTGAAAGAATCGCCAACGTTTCTTTCCAAACGTGATGTTCCCAAGGAGTGATGAAGCGTTGCCAAGATGTTTATTTAAGCTTGTAATTTATGCACGTCCGTTCATTACGCGTTTTACATACGTGGATTGATATTTATTAGCTGCAATCAGGTTCTTTTGTGACGCGCAATAACTGCTGATTGCGCATGATCATTTACTTTTATGGAAATTTTTTGGAAAAATGATGACATAAAGTTTTTACGTGTCTTATTGATCGTACGTGTCGAGTTAAATAAAATCTTCGTACATTCTAATAAAAAAAATATTTTTTCTTTTTTGCAAATATTAAAAATGTGCAGGTATTTTTGGCATTTGAAGTTAAATTTGGTTTTCTAATTATTCGTATGCTATTGCTTAATTTTACATGATTTGATCATTGCAAAGTAAAATCTGATATTTTCTAAAATTAGAATTAATTTTTTCATACAGATACTTTCAATACAGATTTCGAACTCTAAATCAGTTACTTGTCACGTATAATTTTCATAAATTTCAAAAAATAATAAAAAAGTATATCATACGTATAAAAATCTATAACCAAATTTCAAAGTAGGTACGATGAATCCTAATTTTTCTAACCATCCGAAATGTACTTTACTCTAGTAATAAAGAATACTCTTAATTATTCGCATTTCGAAATTCGAGTCATAATTTTCCACTTAAAACACCGAATAATAAAATTTGAATCGAATAACTAATACACTAGAGAAAATTC